CCCCGGGGGGGGGGGGGGGGCAGGCTGAGCCCCTGGGGAACATCCCGCTTGTGACAGACACTGACCCCATCTGCTCTTGTGCTCCCAGTGCCCTGCCTGCTGCCTTCGAGATCCTGCTCTTCGTGTCTGTCTTCGGGTTCAAGAGGAAGCCCCTGTGAAGTGGAGCTGGACCCCCATGGGAGCTGTGTGCTGCTGGCCCCAGGGGCTTGGAGCTGGGGAGTGCGGAAGTGGATATGCTGACCAGTGCCTACCACTGCTAAATGGGGCAGCTGGCCGTGGGGTAGCTGCATAGGGGATCAGGACCTGGTCCTCTATCTCTAGGGGTGGGACTGAATTATCCTTATAGGAGCCTGTGGCACCCCCCCCAGGAGCCCATAATGGTAGCAGGTGGTATTCCACCTGTCCCATGGGAGCCTGCATCGGCCCCCACTGGCAGCAGGCAGTACTGCAGCCTACCTCAGTTTGTGGGTGTCTGCAGCGCCATCCCAAGACCCCAGTGGCAGCAGGTGTTACCTGGATAGATTGATTTAAATCATGGTGATTTAAATCATAAGGAAAAAATCATTGATTTAAATCAACTTTCCCATTGTTACTTCTTCACGTATTTCTTCAAGCAACAGTGCAAATCTAATCTAATCTCTAAAACATGTACATTTACTCCTTGGTACAGCATTTTACAACATCTAAGAGAGTATGCTCTGTGTAATTTTTTTTTAAAACTTGATTTTTATCAGTTGAGAAAACAGTACATAATTCTCATTGCCTGCAGATGCAGCAGCCGTGCATTAAGAATGGGAAGAACTAAATTATACATACAAACACAAATAGCACTTGTTTTACTAAACGAAATCTTAAATGTTCCAGAAATGATTCACATTTGCCATTGCAACAGTCTTCGTAGTTCTCAGCTGACAACTATCCTGAAAGTCATTTTTTTTTTATTTTTCAATTTGTATGAACTCTAACAGACAAATCCTCAGAACAGTAAATATACAGTGTCCTTAAAGCTTCTACATTAACTCTCATCTTCTCCGGTCCCACTGTCATTTTGATGCAGATCCAATTGCATGTTACCAGAAAAGCTGAGACTAACAGGGCTTAGACTGTGCTTAATTTTGAAGTAAGTCCCACTGAAAACAAGTATAGGATGGGGTTCTTGTGGGAAAGGTGAGTTGTCCTGAAGTAAAATAGGAAATAGACTTATGGCATCATCATTATGATCTGTGACCATCATCTTCCAAAATAAGGGGCATGTATTATCTACTATATAGTTGAGAGAATTTGTCTGTTCATCCATCTGTTTGCTCAAGAACTCCTCCTAAACGGTAAGAGCTAGGAGCACCAAATTTGGTTTGCAGCTTCCTCCTATTTATAACTTAAAGCAAGGGTTTAGTTGCACCAGGAAACAGGATATGCCTGGCATGGGATTGCTTCTCATAAAACCATACCGAAAAAAGATAGAATCACTATGTCCATCTGCCTCTCTCTTCTCCCATTCCCGTCCCTCCCCACAACCAATGTTCCTTCTAATTTTCCCCACACCTGAGCAGAATGAATTCTATTATGTGCACCAATGTGGAGTGGACGTGTAACATGGACAGGATGTGCATTACATCACCTCCCTGTTGGTGCACCTCAAAAATGATGTGATGGGGGTGAGACTAACGCGTTCTGAGTACAGGAGGGGGTCAGACTGGGGAAGAGGATTAGGGTGCAGAAGTGTGAGGGCTCTGGCTGTGAGTGTGGGCTCTGGAGTATGGGTGGAGTTGGGCTCAGGCTGGGACAGAGGGTCAGGGTGTAAGGGCTCTGGAGTATGGGTGGGGTTGAGGGGCTCAGGCTGGGACAGAGGGTCAGGGTGTAAGGGCTCTGGCTAGGGATGCAGGCTTGGGTGGGACTGGGGCAGAGGGCGAGGTGCAGGGGTGCGAACAAGGTTCAGGAATTGGAAAGTCCATGGCCTTGCCACTCCAGCTGTTAGGGAGCCTAGCCATTGCAGAATTCCCCATGCCTGTCTGCCCCTCTGTCCTTCCTTCCCATCCATCCCCCCATGCCCTCTTTTTCAGCCATCCACTTCCAACACTATATGTTCTATCCCTGTCTGATCTGTTTTCCCAGCTCATAGATGTGGGCCGTGCGGGGCTGCTTAGGGTTGGGGGAGTTCCCAGGCATTGGGAGCTTTGGGATGAAAAGCACTGGAAGTCTGTGTCTACATTGGCACCTGTCTACCGCCTGTCTTGCTGCCTGTCTACACTGGTATTGTAGAGTAAATACGCAAGTATTTGCTCAAGAATACTGATGTTCTACTGTGCGCAAGAAGCACTGATTTCATACAGTAGAACATCAGTGCTTCTTGCGCAAATACTCTGACGCTCCCGCTCAGGGATAAGTCCTCTTGTGCGAGTGTTCTTGTGCAAGAGAGCATCTACACTGGCACAGATGCTTTTGCGCAAAAGCAAATCTTTTGCACAAAGGCACATGCCAGTATAGACGCTCTCTTGCGCAAATACTTTTAATGGAAAAACTTTTCTGTTAAAAGTATTTGTGCAAAATCATGCCAGTGTAGACGCAGCCGGGCTGGCACAGGGGCAGTGGGTCGCTGGGGCTAAGGGCACAGTCATTACTGCAGCGTTTACTCAGCATGGGTGCCCATTAGCTCTGAGCAACAGGCTCCAATCCCCGTCAGTGGCTCTAACACCCCTTACACACAAAGAGGAATAACCCTGATCTCAGCTGGGGTGGGATTTGGACACACTGGCATGAATAGGCCCCAGTTTCAGTCAGGGTGTGTGGTGGGGGGGGTGTCTGGGCAGTGCTTGTCACAACAGGTCCCAATCTCAGGTGGGGGTCTGTGCAGCACCTGGCAATTAAACCACTCCCAATAACTGGTGTGCTTTTCTCCCCCTACAATCAACTGACAAAAGTACTAGTGTAGTACTTTTTCGTAAAAGCGATGCAAATTAGACGTATCGCAATTGCTAATGAAGCGGGGATTTAAATCTCCCCATCCCTCTTAAAATAAGGGATCTTTCGGAAAAGGCTTTATTTTCTGAAAGATCTGCGTCTAGACTGGTGCTTTTTTCCGGCAAAGCTCCGTGCTGAAAAAAAGCGGCAGCCATTTTTATGCTAATGAAGTGGGGGAGATTTAAATCCCTGCTTCATTAGCAATTGCGATGTGTCTAATTTGCATACCTTTTACGAAAAAGGGATGCAATCTAGACGTAGCCGAAGGCTCAAATTTCAGCCAGGGAATCCGGGCAGCGTCTCACTGGTCTCAGTCCCAGAGGGGTCTAGCAGTGCCCAGTGTGATGGGGCCTGACTTGCTCTGCTGCCCTTGTGAAGTCCCAAGCATCCCTGTGGCAGACACCACTGCCAGGTTCATGTCTCTGTGTGACATGAGTGTGATGGGGCTTAACTATCCCACCCTTAGCAAAGAGGCTGGCTGGCCCTGATTGTGAGGGAAGCTGTGGGGGGTGTGCAGGAGCCCCATGGAGAAAGTGGGGGGTGTAAAGCCATGCCCTTTCCCCTGCGGAAGTACAAGAGATGGGGTGTCAGTTCTCACAGCTATCAGCTGCAAATCAGCTGGCCTGTCTTTTCTGGGAGCTATGGTCCCAGCCCTGGCGCCGCTGATATGAAAAATCGCATTCGCCTCTTTCTGGGGAAATACAGTCACTCTTTGTGTGGGCCTATGCAAATAGGCGCCGCGGGGAATGGCGGGAAGAAAGCCACTGGGGCCCATAGGGCGCATCCGGTGGCTGTTTGAGGATCTCTCCGGAGCCGTACAGGGCGAAGGAGTAGGAGGAGCGAGCATATGGAGGACTTTCTCCCGGACGCGGGAGTGGAAGCACGCGCCTCACCGTGACTGCTATCATTATGGCTGGACATTGGGTCCCGGCGGCGGTAAAGCGTCAGTATCGTCAGTAAGGTACATCCTTACCTGTTCCCCCGCCGGGGGGCAGTCTATGATGATTGGAGAGCGTATGAGACATGATTAGAGTCTCCGCGGCCACGGTCTGCAACGCCGTAGCCCGCTCCTTTCTGAGTTTCCCCGGCGGCTTACGCTGATGCTGTGACGGGGACTGTTTTGTGGGTCCTCTGAGCGTGTTTGGCTGTAGTGCTCGTTTTTAATAATGTTGTAAAAACAAAAGGTTTGGTACATAAAGTATTTGTTGTATTAAATGATTAAAATAGATAATTTTGTTACGGTCGTGGTGTTCTACTCGCCGTGAGTTCTGCAAAAGTGAGGTGCAGCACTGTAGTGTTACCCTAATATCGTGGTGGCAGAGAGCAGCAATGGTCACAGTCTACTACTTTACAATAGCAAGAGAGGTTGTAATGTTACAGTCTCAGTCTATATTACAGTCACAATTTATTCTTCTGCTGTAGTAAGCATGGAACAGAGCAACAAAGTGGCAGCAACGATCAATTCCTTGCAGTTCCATAACGGGGAGTAACATTGTAATGTTACGTACAAGCTCCTTGCGAGAGTGGGGAACAACATTGTAACGTTACAGTCACAATCTTTGAAATAGTGGAAGACAGTTTGTAACCTTACAATCAAAACCGATCCCTTAGCAATGACGGGGGTATTCTGTCTGTCCTAGTGCAAAAATTGTAACGTTACACCCGCAGAAAAAGAAGCGTACAGTTCACTGGTGGGACTCCTCGCCACTGGATGTGGTGCCAGGATAAGGGGCACCAGTGGGGTGGGAGCCTCGGGGCTGCTCTTATTGGCCGGGCTCTTCCTTGTTATTAGCTGGACCAGCCCACTCGCTTCATCGTGATTGGCTCTTTCCCCTTCTGATTAGATGGGCTTTGCACCGGTTCTATCCTGTGATTGGTCGGAGGAGGGGCAGCTGCCTCCTCCTCCTCCTCCTCCGTGTCCCTCCCTCCATTGTATCCCCTCTCCCTCCGAGATTGGCTGGGCGATACCCCCGTGTTCCCAGCAGACCCCCACCTCCCTCCCCCGCCTCTCTGATTGGCCGCGGCCCGCAGTGATTGACAGGGCTTGCCCCCTCCCGTTCGTTTGAAACGCTAAAGAAGCCGGCGCTAGACCCAACCGCACCCTAGTGACATGAAAACAGACGCTCACCGTGGCAGCCAATCGGAGCGAGGCGTCCTGACTCCCGAATTCCCGCCCCAAGGCCGTTGAGTTGGCTGGGGATTGGCCAAGGAACCAGGCAGCCAATCGCGAAGGAGCGAGAGGGCTGTGAAAACCTATAAAGAAGCGTAATCGGAGAGTGGAGGAAGGGCGTCGCGGCGGCCAATAGTGGAGTGGAAGGGGCGGGGGCGGCTGGGGGGGGCGGGCCAAGGGGGGG